AAGGCCCAGTAAGTCGTATCTTGTTATCTTGTCTCTCGTTGAACTATTCTTGCGTGTTGGATATACTCACTAACACACACACACATGCACACACTGACACATACACACATTCAGATACACATGCTGGCACATACACACACAGATGTACACTGACACACAGATGCACACAAACTTGCACACACATACACACAATCTGAGATATATAGACGGATGTTAAAAAATGATATATTTGCATCCACCCTCCTGTCAGCTTAACTTTTGTGTCCAGGAGGGTGGCTTGCTTGGGGGCTGCAAGAAGATCACTTTCTTCTTCTTATGATATGATATATTTCTTCTTTCTTCTTGTTGGGTGGCTCGGCATCTTAATATACATCTATATAATAATTTTTATGTGTGTCAGTTACAAACATCAATATGGATCAGACGTAAACATTTTCTTCAGGTTTATTCTTACAGTTACTGATATATAATAAAACAACAAAGGATGTTACAGGATAATGGATGTTCAACAGCAGATGTTACCTGATAAACCCCTGAAGGAGAGAGGGTCTACGTATTCAGAGAACAGACAGACAACAAGCCCCATGGTGCTTTGTCCACTATTCTATATAGCTATGACCATAATTTATTTATTTATAAAATATTTTACCAGGATGGATACATATAGATTTCTCTTGTTTTCAAGTATCTCCTGGGTCTTTGTCCTCAAAACATTGCATTGTTACAATAGGATTTAATATTACAAAACTACAATATACAAACTATATATAGACACACATATATACATTTTATAAAACTCAGGCCATATGCCAAGACCCCCAATCAACATTCCAGACTTCTCAGACAAGAAAGCCTGGTGACTTATTGATACCATCTGTTATTTATGCCAGTCCAGATATCCATACCCAATATGAATATAAATAGGAACATGGAATATGTAATATTCTACATGGTCCTGGTGCTGGCTGAGGCTGATGAGAGTGAGCATGTAGGAACTAACTCGAGCCACTCCTCTGCCTCCATGCTGCTTCCTGTGGTGGTGCCACCGCCTCCAGACTCCTCCTGCACGGCCCTCTGTAAAGCTGGGAGGAAGTGAAAGGCTGTAAAGCTTGGAGGAAGTGACAGGCTGACATTTCCTGCCAACTGGCAGATACTAAAGGGGTCCAGTCGCGCACTTAAAGGGATTACTGAGTCCCTGTTCAGGAATAATACCCATCAAGGGGCCACAAATTATATATATATATTTATATTTTTATATATATATATATATATATATATAATCTAAATATTTTTTAAAACTAGTATAATGTGTTAAATTATTTTGTTCAGCTTTATTTTCCGGCCTGGGGGACTGGCTGACAGTGCTGCAGCCTGCTATTCCTGCCATGTGATCACAACATCATCGCAATCACATGGCCCGAGAGGCTTGGATATGCTGGGGGGACTGCCTGGGATTTAAGGCAACTCCTCAACTGCGATTGCCCATGGGGGAACCGTGGCAGTCTAGTAAGACCCTAGAACGGTGAGGACGTGCTATGCTGCCACCAGAGTTTAGGAGGGCCTACTTAAATTTGCTTTTTAAAAATCTTTTGGGCATCAATGAGACCCCATATTAGTAAAAGGAAGGTTTCCATGGGGGAATATTTCTTTAAAAGTGAGTAGCCAAAAATTTGTAACTGGGCAACTGTTGCATGTAAAATACCAGGAGACGGGGACATGTCACTGGTTCCCCCTGTGTGCAGCCATGGACAACAGATAAGAGTTCTATCAAAATAAAATGGGGGGACATACTAAATTCCACATGGTGGCTATCTAACATTGTCCAGCACACCCTACCTACACATTTACAAATGTTTCTCTTGCCTTGACATGTCAGTTAGTGGGAAGATGGATTATTTTTATTGCAGCATGGTTTTTCGTTTTTCGATTTTGTTTTTCGGACATTGGCCCTTATTTTTGGGGAGTGGATAACATGATGTGTTTGCATTTTGCTGTTTGTTATATCACCTGTTAATGCATTTCAAATTGCAATGCTTGACTTCTTTTTTATGTTACTACTCTTTCGATTGCTCATGCATATTCGTTGACTATGCATGCCTATCCTCAATTATTGTTCGATAAAAATATGTTACAGAACAAACAATCTGAAAGGTAATGTTCAGGCCCAAATCACCTACATTTGCATACATTGTGTAATTTAGGGTTTAGTGAACAAACCCCATGCAGGGTTATTTACTAAAATTAGAATTCTCAAAAATGCAAACTGAATTTAAAATTTTTCAAGGCCAGAATAGCCAAATTGGACAAATTCTCCAAGTCAGCTATATTTCTAGTTTGACTATTTTGGTCTAAAATATCCTTACAGTCTACCCTATAATTATCCTAATTTAACATAATCTCCACATTTAATTATTTCCCGCTATCTATTGGACAAAAGTCTAAAAGCAGCAGACAATCCAATTATCATAAATAAAAATAAATAAAAAATAATGAATGAATAAAAGTGAAGGGAAATAGAAAATGCTCCCCAGCATAGAAGGGTTACAGCTTTTGCAGTGTGCATTAAGATATGTAATAAAGATTAGATAGCTTGCCTGCTTTCCCTGACCCTGTAGTCCCTGGCTAGGCTCAGGGTTTGGAGTCCAGTCTGCAAGTGCAGAACAGTCACATTTGAGCGTTGGAAGGGTCAGGTTGGCTGGTCACCCAACATGATTCAGCTTTGGTGCAGGTTTAAAAAACTATAGGGGAGGCTATCGGGTTTATTCACTATACTCCAAACTGCACAATTTATGCAAATGCAGCTTATGTGGGTTAGAATGTAGCCATTCAGCTTCAATTTGGAGTTTAGCTAATACATCCATGTATTTAATAAATTAAACCCTTAAGGACAGGGCCGGACTGGGAAGAAAATTCGGCCTGGGCATTTTTTAATTACAGCGGCCCACTAAAAAGGGGGCGGGACCAGATAGGGTGTGTTTTGTCATCACCAATGACAAGCATGCCCCATCACAAAGTGAGCATGTTGGTTCAATGCTCTTCCAGGGTAGACCATGCGCAGAGCTCTGCTGAAGAGCTCTAGCATGAGAAAAATACCCTGTATTTATTCTGCACAGCGCAAGCAAATTTAATAACATGCTTGCACTGTGTTTGCTTGAAATTTGTCTCTGGTGTCTCCATAGTTGGGATACCAGGAGACAAAAATGCCAGGAAAGCATATTGCGCAGTGTGTGAGGGTGCTCTGTGTGTGTGTGTGTGTAAGGGGTGTAGTGTGTGTGAGAGAGGGGTGCAGTGTGTGTGTGAGTGATGGGTGCTGTGTTTGCGTGAGGGTGCTATGTGGGTAAGGGTGCTGTGTGTGTGATGGGTGCAGTGTGTGTGTGCTGTGTGTGAGTGGGTGCTGTGTTTGCATGAGGGTGCTATGTGCATGTGAGGAAGCTGTGTGTGAGGGTGCAGTGTATGCATGTGAGGAAGCTGTGAGTGTCAGGGGTGCAGTGTGTGTGTGAGGGTGTGTGATGAATGTCAGGGGTGCAGTGTGTGTGTGAGGGTGCTGTGAGTGTCAGGGGTTCTGTGTGTGTCAGGGTGCAGTGTGTGTGAGGGTGCTGTGAGTGTTAGGGGTGCATTTTGTGTGTGCTGTGAGTGTCAGACGTGCAGTGTGTGAGTGTCAGGGGTGCAGTGTGTGTGTGTGATCTGCGTGTCATGGGTGCAGTGTGTGTGTGTGAGGGTGCTGTGAGTGTCAGGAGTGCAGTGTGTGTGCTGTGCGTGTTAGGGGTGCAGTGTGTGTGCTGTGTGTGTCAAGGGTGCAATGTGTGTGTGTGAGGGTGCTGTGAGTGTTAGGGGTGCATTTTGTGTGTGCTGTGAGTGTCAGACGTGTAGTGTGTGAGTGAGGGTGCTGTGAGTGTCAGGGGTGCAGTGCGTGTCAGGGGTGCAGTGTGTGTGTGTGAGGGTGCTGTGAGTGTCAGGGGTGCAGTGTGTGTGCTGTGTGTGTCAGGGGTGTAGTGTGTGTGAGTGTGAGGGTGCTGTGAGTGTTAGGGGTGCATTTTGTTTGTGCTGTGTCAGACGTGCAGTGTGTGTGATGGTGCTGTGAGTGTCAGGGGTGCAGTGTGTGTGTGAGGGTGCTGAGAGTGTCAGGGGTGCAGTGTGTGTGCTGTGTGTGTCAGGGGTGCAGTGTGTGTGTGAGGGTGCTGTGAATGTTAGGGGTGCATTTTGTTTGTGCTGTGTCAGACGTGCAGTGTGTGTGTGAAGGTGCTGTGAGTGTCAGGGGTGCAGTGTGTGCGCTGTGCGTGTCAGCGGTGCAGTGTGTGTGAGGGTGCTGTGAGTGCTGGGGGTGAATTTTGTGTGTGCTGTGAGGGTCAGATGTGCAGTGTGTGTGTGAGGGTGCTGTAAGTGTCAGGGGTGCAGTGTGTGTGCTGTGAGTGTCAGGAGTGAAGTGTGTGCTGTGAATGTCAGGGGTGCAGTGTGTGTGAGTGTCAGGGGTGCAGTGTGTGTGAGTGAGTGTCAGGGGTACAGTGTGTGTGAGTGAGGGTGCTGGGAGTGTTAGGGGTGTCTGTGAGGCTGCTGTGACATGAGTGATTATATCCCCCCTCCCTGCTTACCTTTAGCCTGGGAGGGGGGATCCTGCTGCTGGGGCTGCCATCCATCCCTGGTGGTCCTAGTGGTGAGTGAACTCTAGCCTGCTTAAGGACACAACTTCTGGAATAAAAGGGAATCATGATGGAATAATCACGTCATGTGCCCTTAAGGGGTTAAAGTGACACTCGAAGGACCAGAATCCTTACAGCTTAAAGGAATCCTATAGTGCCAGGAAAACAAACCTGTTTTCCTGACACTATAGGGTTATTAGGTTAAAACCCCTTCAGCCACTCACCTGAATCCAGTGCTGATGTCCCTTGGCAGGGGAGACCTAATGCGCATGCACGGCAATGGCCGCATTATTCAATTCTTTCCTATGGGGAAAATCTGACGCTGTAGTTCCGTGAGGACGTCTAGCGTCAGATAATGGACCAAAAGTCTGTTTGGATTCCAGAAACGCCCCCAGTGGCTCTCTGGTAGACAGCCACAGAGGGCAGACTTAGAGCTGCAATGCAAACACTGCAGTTCTCTAAGTGCAAAAGGGTCACAGCACCCAGACCACTTCAATTAGCTGGGTGACTACAGTGTCCATTTAATGAGTGGTCCATGCAGGCTGAGCACTGTGCCTACAAGTAACTTAAAGTGGCAATCATTCTAACAGCCACTAGAGGGGTTTCCTAGTTGCAGGGTCGACATTTAGCATCTCTGCACTCTAAATGGAGACGCTGAACGCTCCCTATAGAGATGCATTGAGTCAATGCATTTCTATGAGGAGATACTGATTTGTGCCGCTCAATTGCCGCATTAACCAGCTATTGCTTCCCTGTGGCGAATGTCAAATAGCAAGTCTTATAATAAATATATTTCTCTCTTGTTTTTTTTTTTTTACTTGCTGTTGGGTGGCTCGTTGTGATGTTGATATACATACATATGTATTTTTTTCAATTTCTTTTTTTAAGTGTTTTATTTATGTTGTGCAAAGAAACATAACAGGGTGTCTTGTAATGCCCCAACAGCTCTTACAAGTATAAAATAAGGAAAGCATAACATTGGTCTGCACTGTGAAAATACTGCAAATTTTTGTGTTACATTGAAGGCAGGCTGATCACTAGTTTATGCAAATAACAAGATAATCAATATGTCAGACTAGTAACTAGACATATAAATGAATCCGAGTGAACATATTGACAATATGCAACTTATTTGTGGGAGGAGACAAGATTAAGTTTGCGCATATGATGTATTGCAGGCTAGGTCAAACTGAGGGTAATTTATATATTTAATAAATCGCTTGATTTCATGCAAGTCAAGCTATAGAGGGTGAAACCACTGGCACTGCTAGCTGGGCAAAAAAATCATTGGGACGTCAGGCACAAGGCACACTTTTACAGAGGGAACTTATAGCACACGTTTATGGTCCTGCGGCCCTGATTAAGACCCACATCTCCAGGAGGAAGGTGTTAGGTGGTAACCCCTAAGGGGTGTTCTTCAGGACCAGCTATCAACAGGGCTTTGTCGCCAACCCCTTCGGGACCTCTGACCACATACCCTGCTATCACTAACTCTATTACCCGGGAGGAGCGAGAGTTAACCTCGGGTGCTCCGGACGATCGGACTATGTGCTAGATACCATTTTCCTTCAGGTTAACGCCTCTAAGGTACCATCAACTGTACTTTCTACTCCGCCCACAGGAGTTTCCATCGTATCTAGGCGGAAGACATTTAAACCTAATAAGGAACCTTTTGCATGGACGACTGGTCTGACAAAACTGAATATGAAGACACGTCATGGTGATCCTTTCCATCCCCCTTGACAATGTTATCTAGGTCCCCTGTGACACAATTAACCTCAGCTCTTCACCTGGCCCTTCAAGGGGCTTAATGAAACTACCAAAACCAGTGATCAATTACGTATGGGGAAGACGTGGCATTATCTTCCTGGACAATCTCCTGCGGGCGATTCAGGGAACTCAAGACTGCGCCAACACTTGAGATTCTCCGTGGTCCGGCTGGAATCAGCGTGTTTCGTACTGGATGAGCCAATTCTTAGCATTCGTAAGCGACACCGCTCCTTGCACGCAGACGTTTTTTCCTTTCATAGGTCTCCTCTATCCTTAAGGAATTTTCACATGGTCCTTCACTGCAACACTGTTACCCTACATACACTCGCCCGGATCGAGGGATAATGCCTTCCTCCATCCGGGCCATCTTCCCAGACTCACTACGTTACCAGGACAGGCAGTGAGGCCTGATCAGGTTCACTCAGGAAGACCTCTACGATCAACCGGACTTCGTTCGGAAGTCGGATGCCAGCTTGTGGGGCAAGGGGACAACCTGTGAGACCACACCCATGAAAATGGGTTCACAACTCAGGAATTCTCCCTTCACGTTGCAGACCTAGAATTCTTTGTGCAGTACTTCACTATCCACAGCCTGGTAAAGGATTACCCCATTGGTTGCATTCTACTACGGATGGACAGAGCATCGACAGTAAGGTATACCAATCGCCTGGATGGAACTAACTCCAGTCTCCTATCAGACATCATGAAAGGCATCCTCGATTCCTGCCTTCCTCGCAGAACCCCGAGGTTGGCCAATCTCCCGGGGGAAACACATATCAGAGGGACCGCCAGAATGTGGTGTTCTTCAATTGGCACATTGCATGAGGGTGCACATATGCTTTTTTCTCCCTTGCAATGATTGTGAAACTTGTCCATCATCTCATTGTTCAGCGAATAACACTGCCTTGGCCGTCCCGCTGTGTAGGAGTCAACCTTGTTTCCTGGACCTTACAGGAACTGATTGGATCTCCTCCTCCTACATTCATATCCTACTATTCTCACGGATCCGAAGGAAACCTGCATCTTCTATTCCTGAAGGGTCGGCTGACCTTGGTGGCCGGGACTCTTGCTGGGGTTCTTGGCAGATCGGTGGACTATCACAGGCTGCTAGGGACCTCTTAAGAGTCTCTTGGGCCCCAGGGAGGTGACGATGCTACCGTTCCCAGTCTGATTGATGTTTAAAACTTTACCTTGATCCATTATGTGGTGGTTTGGTCAGCTCTATGGCCCGTGTCCTGGTCTGGGGACTTCCGATTGACAAGAATCCTAAAACTTATGTACCAATTACCTAGTGACATCCACCTCTGGCTGATGGGATGAGGAGGTCGTTCTCCATTTTTTCTACGGGACTGGCGCATCTACTGATGGACTTTTATGATTGGACTGGTGGCTTTCCATCAGATATTCGGACGTTCGACCGGGAGGTTTCTCCCATAGACCTGATATGCTAGGTATCCCGTCACAATTTTGGATTCTTTATTAATTTTCTATTCCATTCTCAGCGTTAAAAATGCAAAATACGAAGCCTCCTGTCATATTGTAAAATTTTATATTTTGCTAGCTTTAGTGTACTAATAATCTTAATTTTAGTAATGACAGGAGGCGAGGATTTTCCCTCCCTGCTTCGCTAATCCACCCTTTCTGTTTGTTTTCTTTGTATGTATCATGGGTCTAAGGTAGCTTTGGCTCTCAATGTTTTGTGCCTAAATTGATGATTGTATTTCCATTAATCTGGAATTCTCATTGGAGTTTTACATAATAGTTATTCAGTTATCAGATTGGAATTTACTATATTTTTTTATGGGATGATGTATACGGTATGTTACCTGGATTTACATGTTAATGACTATGTGTCTAAACCTGTCACATATTCTCTTTTCAGTCTGATTCGTCTCTGAAGACATTTGGTTGTTCGTGTGAAACTCTCTGGAATTTTGATCCTTCGGATTTGATTCGTCCCTGAACACATTTTCGTTGTTTGTGTAGAATTCACGGGGAAGATTGCTCCTTTGGTTATTGGATTTAAGAGTTATTGTTATTTCTTGTTATATGTTTACTTCTGCTTGATGTCGCTTTCTGAAAGACAAAGTGATGAAGTCACTATGCCTTATGTACATCTTTTTTCCATGTGTTTCTTTGCTGCTGTGTTGAGCTAGTAAGGAGAGATTATGCAAAATACTCGCCTCCTGTGACCTGCCATTACTAAAATTAAGATTATTAGTACACTAAAACTAGCATAATCTTCAATTCTCTTGCATCTTATGAAAAGGTCTAGTCCCCAGTGGATGATGTTATTCTGTACTTTGCCCTTTGAATTAAAATGACTATTTAAAAAAATAAAATAAACAAACCTTTAACATAGGCAGGAATGCAATAATGTTGTGGCAAACTGAAAACTTGGAGCTCCAGTTTTAAATTAAAAAAATTGGGCTAATGGATTCTATTATATAGAACAGCAGAGTACCTGTGATATTTTTTGTAACTTTATTCACTTGTTTGGTATGGCATATTAAAAATGTCTATAATACTGTCATTGTGAAGCAATTCGAATAATAATCAAATTACACATATAGACACATATATTTTATAAATCAGAATGAAGTAGATATACTAGTTGTGACCCACTACATATAAAGTTTAAATGATTTTAAAAAAATGGTAATAATACCAGCAAATGGAGTAGTCTTGATATCACAAACATGATTTGGAAAACCTATAAATGGAAACACAGAACCATAGTGTGGCTGTGACCTTAAAACTAATGTTGATAATGTGATGGAAAGTAATCTCACTAATCTCAGGCTCTGTATAATATGCCCAATGGGGTGCCAATATTGCCAAACGATCCAATTCTCAGGATGAACCACTGGAACGGAACCAAGCAGTCCAGGAAAGATATTTCTTTAAACATAATAGTAAATGGGTACTATAAGAATGGTGTTAGAGGTAAAAACCAAAATCAAACACCTTTCTATGAAGTAACCCTAAGAGTACAATATAAAAAATACAATATAAAAGCAGGTCTATAAGAAAGTAAACAGCATTTGCGTTTCTTCTATCTCCTAAAGCCTTCTTCCAGTGCTGATTTTCAAAGTGAATCATGACTCCTTATATACCTCACATACAGCTGCAGATAGTTCGTACTAACGACAAAATGTCGTTCATCTTTCCAATTGCAATAAAGTTTAATTGCAATTGGCAAGATGAACGACATTTTGAAATATCAGTTTCCGGAAGTGATGTCACTATTGGATGTCATGTGACACCTTAACCCGGAAATGTGTTCCACCGTGGATTATGGATATGAATATAGCAAAGTAAGAACACTGGTAATTAAAAAAATAAATGTAAGATACAGATACCTTTTTATATGGTAATAGCTGTTCTAAAATAAAGATAAAGTGTGAAAGTCTCTAAGTGACTGGTAAGTATAGATATTTCTTCAGGTTTGATAGTGTCAAGGTCCCATGGGTATATATAGGAAGAAAAAAAATAAAAACTCCAATAGAGCAGTAAGTCCAAATAAAATGCGCAAATGTTAAGAGAAATCCAAGTAATTACTCACATTTTATAGAGCTCAAACCAGCTCTAGTGTAGTACACATATAGTGGTTTTGATCCTCAACTACTAGGATATCGCTGGGATGCACAGTCCATGGATGTCGTTGAAGTCGGGATTGTATAAAACCCAAAAAAGAATAAAAAGCCCAAATAGTGCTTAAGGGTAAACGAGGAGTAAATAGAGGTAGAAATATACTCACAATTTACTGAGCATATAACCCGCTCAGTATTCCCAGCGTAGGTGGTATAATCCCCACCTGGGATTCTTGGTGACTATCTCGCTGGTGGTGTAAAACAGGATGCCAGGTAATAAAAAACAAAGAATATGGCACAACACAATGGTAAAGTAACCAATACACCTTTATTAAACAAATAAAAAAAAATAAAAACAACCCACAACGCGTTTCTCCCAAAGAGGGCTTTTTCAAGTGGTTATCAAACATATACCTGGCATGCACAGTCTTATATATGATTAAAAAAAAACTTGGTAAAATTAAATTTTGGCGGGTAAATGACATCATGATCACATGGTCATAATGGTAGTTACAACATAGAGTCAAAATAGAGGAACAGAATATAACAATAATATAATATATAAATAAGAGACCTTAATTTAACGCAAACTGTTATAAAACGTATTAAAAAACAGTGTATTTAATTAAGAAACAACGGAAAAAATATATATATTTTGACATGTTTTATTTAAAACTTATATTGGGCAATGTACACTGTATTGCTTTCTTGTACTGCATATGATTGTCTGCTCTGGTTTTCACAATAAATTGAATTAAATGAAAAGAAAAATTGAGTGGGTTTCCAGTTGTGGCTTAAGGAGTGTTTAGAATTATTGGGTGTAGTATTAGAGTGCAGTTAAATTGAGTATTGGGGTGCATAGTTAGTTTTTAAGAGAAGTGAAATCTAGGATTAAGGTAGAGAGATTTTTTTCTATTTTAGGCTTTGAGTGTTTAAATTTGGGACTAGTGATGTCGCGAACCATTTGCAAACTTTTTGGGAACGGTTCGCCACGAACCGTTCGTAGCGAACTCCGGTCAGCTGACACATCACGGCCAATCTCCAGCAGACCCTCCCTCCCAGACCCTTCCACCTCCTGGACAGCATCCATGTTGAAGCTGCCTTCAACATGGATGCTGTCCAGGAGGTGGGAGGGTCTGGGAGGGAGGGTCTGCTGGAGATTGGCCAGGATGTGTCAGCTGACCGGAGTTACCGTTCGCGAAAAGTTCGCGAACGGTTCGCGACATCACTATTTGGGACTAAGCAGAGGGTATATTTACGTTTTGGGAGGGAATGCATCTAGGTTTATGGAAAATGGCATTTAGGGCATGTGGTGTTCGATGGATTATTTGCGAAGTATCCACACTCCTAAGTCTTTTGTAGTTCAGAGCTGCAGTAGTTGTTTTACAGTATGCATCACTCAGTTGCTGTCCTCATCTTCCAAGGTACCGCCTGTTTGAGAGACTGTTAGTGGAAAATGATCCCTTCCACTTCCCGTACAGCCTCACACAGACACTGGACATACGGACACTGGAAAAGCTGGAACTGTATCCTCTAAAATAGTTCCTGCAGCTCTGCTATCAAGCATTGAGGACTGACACGGCTACAGAGGTTACTAGCCAAGGCTCCTGGTACTTATCTCTAAGCCAGCCCACTTAAAGCGACTCTATTGGCACACAGACCACGTCATCTCAATGAAGTGGTCTGGGGGCCATGTCCCTCTAGTTTTAACTTTGCAAGTGATATCATTGCCATTCTGCAGAAACAGCAATGTTTTCATTGCAAGGTTTAAATGCCTCCAGTGACAGTCACTCTGACCGCTAGTAGAGGCGCATCTGCAGAAATAACCAAATAAAGCTCGGCTATTTCAATCAGATGGTCTCATAGAAACCATCTAATGGGCAGAGAATGGCATTTTTGCAATAGCTTCTTGAAGTGGCTTTGTCACCTGAAACTTATCTTTCTACTATTGGGAAAGCTCTGGATTATCAAGAGAGCAGCACAATGTGAGTAAAAAGGCAATTGCACTATTTTTTTAACCCTTACAGGTTAAACACTGTAGTATTATTGATACACAATTGTCCTCTAAGTTCCAATAAGACATATTATCAGTGATGAAAACAGGCCCCCCGTAGTGGACATGCGCCTGCAGAGAGGTACTTACTCTGCATAATGAGATACACTGCTGTGCCACTGTGCAGCGTGTACCTCCCAACACTGGGAGGTATAAGATTGGGAGTGATGGGCGAGACTGAGGGGCAACATCACCAGCGTCCCAACTGATGTCACTGGCAATGCCCATAAAGGACAGGTCTGAACAAAAAAGGGGCTGCCTATCTGAAAAAGGGGCATGACCACCTACTGAAGATGCCTGTCTGGCTGGTTCCCAACCTGCAGGACCTTGCAGACAGCAAAATAGATAGAGACACTCTCTGCAGGGTCCTAGATGAGCATGTCTAATGATACACTTGCACCGTCTTTCCCTGGGACATCAGGGAACTAGATCGAGATGGCAGGACAGATCCCCAAAATCGGGACGGTTATGGACCTATGCACAGGTCTTTTATAACCATAACTTCTGATGTCACAATAAGGTGCCACAATTAGCTATCTACCAATATCATATTCCTAGTTTTGACTACAGAGTTATTTGTTTTTTATTGTTTTATTTATGATCATAATATTGCAAAGCTTAAATGCCTAATCCCATATGCTCTAGCTTTATTTTCAAGATGATTAATAGATCACACAAAATGCCTTTTTAGTTTTAAATTCTTTTTTTTTTATTATTGTCATGATGCACTGTAGAATGACAACCAAGATATTCACATTCAGTAATTTAAAAAGGGGTATAGTAAATACTTATAAGGCAATATCCATGTTTAATGACATTTTTTATATATTTAGGTACAAAATCCAAATCAAACAAAATGTTTTTTACTCTACAGGTTTTTTTTCATTCTTAAATCTTCATTACATTTTTATTGACATGTAATTAAATATCATCAAAGGGGTAGATGGTGGTTTTAACACCATAGGGTCTGGAATAGATGTTTGTGATCCTGAGCCTATAGTGCTCCTTTAATATATATATACATATATATATGCCTCATTTCTGTTTTGGTATTCACACGCTCAGTAACTGTGAGTATATTCAGGCGAATTATAATATTATAATTTCTATATTGACCAATGTAGGGTCAACAAAAGGCACATGCAGGACTCAGCAGCATAATTTGACAAATGCAAGGACCAAAAGGTTGTAAAATCACAGAATCTTTGTTTCCAATGCTTTCAAGCCATTTTAAGAAAAAAGGTTAAGGTAGAAATATTGCTCAACCTGTATCCAGTGATTTGATATCACTGTATGCTTTATGGACACACGGGGATATATTCACCAAATTAGTAATTGTGGGCAATTGAAAGGGATTTGAAATTTTAAGACCAGCTGAAATGGAAAAATGATTAAACAAAGCTATTTTCCAATTTGGATGTTTTGTTACGTTATTTTCCCTATTTAGGGGGAGAAATCTATGAGATTTGCAAAGATTGTTGAACTTTCTAAGTTAATTTTCACCATCGGAAGGAAAAAAAAAATTAAATCAGCCAGTTTCTCCTTTTGTAATTGAGAATGCCAATACCGATGATACTTTGTATTTGTTGTAGATGCCCACTTCCCTCAGCATGTTAGAATTGTATTGTAGTTTGGTAGAGATAGTCATCTCTATAGGGTATATTGGTTCATTATAATTTAGTATGAGCACAACAGAATGTCCATGTCAGGAATGTATATGATATACACTGATCAGCCTCAACGTTAAAACCAACTTTCTAATATTGAGTAGATCCCCCTTATGCTTTCGAAACAGCTCTGATGCATCAAGGCATGGACTCCACAAGACCTCTGAACACGGCCTGTGTTACCTGGCACCAAAACATTAGCAGCGTATCCTTGAGTAGTGCCTCCATGGATCAGATTTGTTGTTCCAGCATATCCCACAGTTGCTCATTCGGATTAAGATCTGGGGAATGTGGAGGCCAAGGCAAGAACTTGAATTCTTTGTCATGCTCCTCAAACCATTCCTGAACAATTTTGTGCAGTGTGGCAGGGTGCATTATCCTGGTGAAAGGGGCCACAGCCACCAGGGAACATCATTGCCATGATTCTTATATTCTAATAGCTGACACGGAATAGTAATATCTGGTGGATATTCTTACACTTCGCTATTTCACTGTTGTAAGAGTTCACAGTTCACAGATATAGTAGATGCCATAGCTAATGTTATTTTTCAGACCTAACAAAACACATATTTGTTAAATGTGGGTGATTAGTCAATATACTATTAAAAGTCAGAAATCCTGGAATGTGTCCTATTCCTTTTAAATTTTAAAATGTTTTTCCTAAAATACCATATTTTCTTTCTCGAGATAAGGAATTCCCCAAAAATATATTTTAAGTAATGGATATTTTCATAAATAACTGCAAAATTTGCATAGATGAAAAAGAGACATGCGTTCATCATCATCAAGCCTTTCTCGTATCTGTTTTTGTTGTTGATTTCTCATAATTCTCCTTGGGCCTGCTCCAATGGCTCTGTTGTCTGCGCTGGAGCTGGTAGAATCAGCCGTTTGCGTAGTTCTGATTTAAATGATGGCATTTGTTTGACATTCTCATTCAGGACTTTGAATTCTTTACCTGATACTATGTCATTCAGATGAGTAAGGATTGTAATCAAATCTATATCACTTGAGAGGAAAAAAATACATAAATAAATAGCTGTTAATTATATAAAATAAAACTGAAAAGCTTTTCATTAGAAAAATATATGTACATGGTGAAAGAATAAATGAAACTACCCTATATGTTTATTAAATATAGCTATATTTACATAGTTTATGCGTAATCAGAAAGTTGCCATTTAAAAGCTGGTGTACAATTATATACGATTATAGGAACTCTGAGACATAACATTAAAATCTTCTTTTAGTCTACAAACTTTTCACCTATTAAGAAAAGCGTAAATTTAAAAGTATAGTACAAATAAAACAACTAACATAGCCTTATCTAGCATTCTCGCTGCTTTCTATTGAAATTAATATGTTCCACTGTCCATTAAACTCTCAAAAACTATAATTTGTTGTAACTAGTCTGAGTGTGCAGATATACATATTGTAAAGTATTTGAAAAGCAGCCATTTAAAATGAATATTGAATATATAGATAAGAACCTAAATGAAAATTCTGAAATAAACTTTAATAAAACAGTTTTACTTATTCCTTAATGGAATATTTATTGAAGCACTACACTACATTTTAAGTTTATTGGCTTTAGAAGGTGTTTAATGTAAGCACTTAAGAGTGGATAGCAGATTATTAAATTTGCACACAATTTAACAGTTTTAAATAGAGGTTCTAAGCACCTTTTATACTTTGCACTTTTTTGAAAGTGCTGAAATGTATATAAATCTGAATGAGTGAGAAGTTGTAGTGGTGGATTGGACCATCTGAATAGGAGGTGCAGGTGAGTAATTAAGGACCAAGTTCTTCCCTTAAATAAAGGCTAATTCATTAACCTTTATACTGGTCTTAGTTGTTTTAATACGAAAATTGAGATGATTTGTGTTTCTGGCAATATCCACAATATCCACTTACTGGCGAGTCTGTCTAGAATAGGGATTGTCCTACCCAGAAAAGGGGTAGACCAACCCACTGAAGCGGCCTGTCTGGCAGGGCAAGGGCCCCTCCTTGCAGGACCTTGCCGAGAGAGGCTGAACTTCTAGTGCCAGTGCACAGCATGAACACAGCTAATAAAGCGCTCATTCTGTGCTGCACGAGGACAGTACTCTTTTGTCCACAGATACTAGGGGAGAGAAAAACAAAACAAAAACAAATCGGGAGGACAAGACAGCACCCAGAAATTGTGACTGTCCCACCAATATTGGGACTGTTGGTATGCATGGACATTCGTATGGACCCATGATGTTTCAGACTGTCCTATATAACAAATAAGTGTCAGACAGACAATGGAATTACATTACATGCAATGTTACCTAACACTGATCTGTGAGACCAAAAGGAAGAGGAAGCTTGGGCTGTACGATTCTAGAATGGTAAGAGACTGTGCCTATGTAACCTAGGAAGCTCCAACCCTATAGCTAAGAGGATCAAACTACAAAGACAGTTATCCTCGTTACCAAAGAAAGTTGATGATATGCTAGACTTAGATTAAAATATAAAATATGGATTTATACTAAATGTATAACAAGTGACCTCTGCTACAGAGTCCGCTTAGCACAACCCTCTCTGTTAGAGTAAGTTAACTTAAACTACATATAAACAGCTTGGGTCCCCTGCGTTAGAAAAAGTTCTGATCCAGTGAATTAAGACACACGAATACTAAAAAAACTCCCCCGCCCCCCAAAAAAAAGCACAAGTCATAATATCATCACTTAGAAATTTGACAGTAACCCAGCTAGAACTAATAATGATACCACCCAGCTGCATGCTTATTTAACAAAGAATATATAACCATAGCCAGGGCCGTCTTTATTATTGATTGGATCCTGGGCAAGCATTTGCTTGGGCCCCCTTGACCCCGCCCTTCTAAGTAGGTACCTGTGCAAGGCAGGGACGTATAAGCCGCGAGGCAAGCAAGGAATTTGCCTTGGACGGCACTTTCCAGTGGGCGGCAAAAAAGCCACCCCCAAATGCCCAGGCAAATGTCTTGTTAGCCTGGTGGCTAACTGACAATCCGGGCGGGTGGCGCTGGTGAGGGAGAACTGATTAGTGACATCATATTCCAGCTCCCGGTATCACTCATCCTTGAGGATCAGTGCTCCCTCGCCGCCTGCAGTCACCAGCCGGCCGCCCAGCAGCCCCACTGGACCCCAGGGAAACGAGAATCCACCCCAGCATTCACAAAGGTAAGGAGGCTGGGGGGATTGAATAAAAAAAAAAAAATTGAGTGTGTGTGTGTCTGTTAGAGTGTGTGTCTGTTAGTGTGTGTGTCTGTAAGTGAGTGTGTCTGTAAGTGA